TTACAACAGTGGCACCATGCAGTATTTGTCCTTTTGTGACTGAGATACTTCACTCAGCATAATGTCCTCCAGGGTCACCCATTTTGAATAATATTGCATAAGTTCCTCATTTTTTAATGCAGTGTAGTATTACATTGTGTGAATATACCACAGCTTCTCTATCCATTCGTTTGTTGATGGGCACTTAGGTTGTTTCCAGCTCTTTGCTGTTGTGAACAAAGGTGCGATAAACATGGGTGTGCATCAATTCTATTCTTAAAATGGTTTTTAAAATCAATTAGAATGGACTCAAGGTAGTATTTTGGTTTTTGTGGAGTTGTTTTAATCTTCGAACTTTCATATGAGTAGTTGATTGTCTTCTACAGTCAGACGCTAGTTTGGTTTTGACTGCTGATAATGAGCTTCTCTACTGTCTCTTTCTACAATGTAGTCCATCTGATTTCTGTGTAATTCACCAGCGTAGGTCCATGTATATAGCTACTGGTTTTGTGTTGTTTTAGTTTTGTTTTTTTAAAAAAGTATTTGCAACACAGCCGACACCTCATCTGCCCCGGAGCACAGGCCACTTCGCATAGTCACCGCCGCCGGTTCACACCCGCCACCCTCAGCTCACCATGGATGATGACATCGCTGCGCTCATGGTCGACAGTGGCTCCAGCATGTGTAAAGCCGGCTTCGCGAGCGACGACGCCCCCCGGGCTGTCTTCCCCTCCATCGTGGGGCGCCCTCGGCACCAGGGCATGATGGTGGGCATGGGCCAGAAGGACTCCTACGTGGGAGACGAAGCCCAGAGCAAGAGAGGCATCCTGACCCTCAAGTACCCCATCGAGCACGGCATTGTCACCAACTGGGACGACATGGAGAAGATCTGGCACCACACCTTCTACAACCAGCTGCATGTGGCCCCCGAAGAGCACCCTGTGCTGCTGACAGAGGCCCCCCTGAACCCCAAGGCTAACCGGGAGAAGATGACCCAGAGCATGTTCGAGACCTTCAACACCCCTGCCATGTACGTCGCCATCCAGGCCGTGCTGTCCCTGTATGCCTCTGGCCGAACCACTGGCACTGTGATGGATTCCGGCGATGGGGTTACCCACACTGTGCCCATCTGTGAGGGGTACGCCCTCCCCCATGCCATCCTGCGTCTGGACCTGGCTGGCCAGGACCTGACGGACTACCTCATGAAGATCCTCACCGAGCGAGGCTACAGCTTCACCACCACGGCTGAGCGGGAAATGGTGCGTGACATCAAGGAGAAACTCTGTTACGTTGCCCTGGACTTCGAGCAGGAGATGGCCACGGCGGCTTCCTCTTCTTCCTTGGAGAAGAGCTACAAGCTGCCTGATGGGCAGGTCATCACCATCAGCAATGAGTGTTTCCGCTGCCCCAGGCACTCTTCCAGCCCTCCTTCCTGGGCATGGAGTCTTGTGGCATCCATGAAACTACCTTCAACTCCATCATGAAGTGTGATGTTGGCATTTGCAAGGACCTCTACGCCAACACAGTGCTGTCTGGCGGTACCACCGTGTACCCAGGCATTGCCGACAGGATGCAGAAGGAGATCACAGTGCTGGCCCCCAGCACGATGAAGATCAAGATCATCGCTCCCCCTGAGCGCAAATACTCCGTGTGGATCAGTGGCTCCATCCTGGCCTCCCTGTCCACCTTCCAGCAGATGTGGATCAGCAAGCAGGAGTAGGACGAGTCTGGCCCCTCCATCGTCCACCGCAAATGCTTCTAGGCGGACTGTTTAGTTGCGTTACACCCTTTCTTGATAAAAAAAGCTAACTTGCCCGGAAAAAAAAACAAAGGATGAGAATTGGCATGGCTTTATTAGTTACTTTTTTGTTTCTTTTTTAAATTTTTTAATTTATTTTTTTTTTGGCGCTTGACTCAGGATTTAAAAACTGGAACGGTGAGGGTGACAGCAGTTGGTGTGGAGCAAGAATCCCCCCAGTTCTCCAGTGTGGCCCAGGACTTTGATTGTACATTGTTCTCTTTTTTTTT